CTGCATAGCCAAGGGGTGAAGCCTCCCCTTTTGGACTAGGAGGCAGACGGGATGCTTGCTGTCACCCTGGTCTGATTCAGGGATACCAGTTGTTGAGCCCTCAAGTGAGAGGGGAGGCGTGTCCTATGTGGCAATCCTGCCCTGGTTCTGCAGCGTGCTGGTTTGTGGTGTCTGGCCATGTGGCACTCTGCCAGCCCTTAGGGCATCCTCATCTCCTGCAGGCTGGGTCTGGGTGGCAGACGAGTGACTTTGGGCTGGGGAGGGGAGATGAGTCGGGGAGAGATTCTCACCACATGGCCTCACCTGCCCACACGGGTACAGGTCCGCCGCTGTGGAACCAGGGGCCATGGTGTGGGGCTGGGTGCTGGAGGGCAGTTGGTTGGCTCTACACGTGATGCTCATTGTGCAGCGAGGCAAGAACCACATAGGATCAGAAAGAAGGAAAGCAGACCTCACTCCCTGCGGACTGCACACACATACACAGAGCATCTGAGAACCATCAGAGGGGAATGGCCCCAGTGAGGTCACCCAGTCCTAGGTCACTGAGGGGTCAGCTGTGCTTTTTGGGTCAGCAGTAGGTGGGAGGCGCAGTTTATGAGGGTGTTTTTATTTCTGCACATTATCACTCCTGGAATCCAGACCAGCCCCAACACAGGCCAGACCTTGGGTGGGGGAACCCAAGGCATGAACCCCGCGTAAACAGAGACAGAGACAGTTCAGGCGCAGCAGCCGCATGCACACCAGCACAGCCATTACATGCATGTACCTGATGAATAGGTGCTGAAACCTGCTGTGCAAATGCACAGCGACGTGTGCTCATGGCACCCGCTGGTGGGCCCTCCTGATGCAGTCCCCGGAGGGCACAAGGCCTGGATCACTGCAGATCTGGGCCCCAAGTGAGCCCCACGTGAGGCCACAGTGACGTTGTGAAGCGAGAAGAGGAGACCCTTAGGGTCCTGGCCCCACTAAACCTGGTACAGAGATGTTGGCACCTGTGGATAGATGGCAGGATGTCAACTTTAAGGAGATTGTCATGACACTAGAGTAGGGGTGGCTTCCCAAAATGAGCTAGGAGAGTGGCTGACACAGAAGGTTTTATAATATGAAGAGAACAAAAAGGCAAGCATCTCCAGGGAGCTCCCACTCTGCCTGGCATGGCCCATGCCCAGCATGGTCTGTCCCCTGTGTGTCCCGTACCCAATGTGGTCAGTGCCTGGCGTGGCCACTGCCCAGGGTCATCCATGCCCAACATGGCCACTGCAGGGTCCAAGAGTGGCCCCACTGACCTTACTAGGCAGGGGACTTGGGAGCTCCATGCCTGGGGCTATTTCAAGTGAGAGCTGTGTTCCACATGCTGGCTGCTACTTCCCTGGGCATCCTCTGTCTTTTGAAAGTATCTGAATGTTGTAAAGTGTCACTTGGGCCTTATGATTTCTTTCTGGGAGAGGCCGTCTAGGTGGGATGGGGTGGGGTGGGTCCTGCTGCCTCTCCTGGGCCTCCTGCCTGCCTGCTGAGGGGCTGTCGCCTATGGGCAGCCTGCCCGGCTCTCATTCTCGTGGCCCTCTGGGCAAGCCTGTGCACCTTTCCACCTGCCTGTCCCAGGCCAGACGTCTGCAGTGGGGGCTTGGGGGCGCTGTAGCTCTGCTGACCAGTGGCAGGTTCTGTGGCATGGAGTAGGCAGCTGGGTGGGTGGGCCAGGGGCTGTGCTGTGCCAAACAGCCCGGGGCACATTCTGGACCTGAAGGCACAGCCCCTGGAGAGGGGCCATGTGGCCGAGGCTCAGCACCTCAGGTTGGCTTGCAGGGCCAAGGTGGGCTCTGCTGTATGTTGGGTGTGGTTGTTTGGAATAGGTCACCCGGGATGCGTAAGCATCTCCCAGGCCACAGGGAGAGGAAGGTGTTTGTTCTGCCCCAGGCCGTGCCTGTTCTGTTGCCCCATGCATGCAGGCCCTGTGCAGAGCATGGGCAGCCTCCGGCGTCAGGCTGGAGCTCTTCGGGTGCCTGCCCATCCTGTCTGGATGACGGATCCCATTTATTTGGCATTCTTGTACAGCAGCATTGCATTGGGCAACGTGTAAGTGCTTGTATATTTTAAGATAGTATTTCTGCACACATTATTTCTGGAAAGAGAATCAGTGGTGACCTGTATGGACATGTCCACCCAGGATTCCAGCCGGGCAGGTACATCTCTCCACATGTCCTTGGCAACAGGCTTATCAGACACAGATTGGTGCTCCTCAGATATGTGGAAGATAGCGTCGGCATGTTTTTATTTTGTGTTTCCGGAGTAAGGAGGGGCCTCTCATGAGTCCTAACAGCTGGATGTTTCCTTGCCTTGAACCGTAGGGTCACATCCTGTGTCCACCTGCGGCCAATTCCTTCTGCTATTGAGCCATAGGAAAAGATGTATGTATACACGTGCACGCACACATGTGCAGAGGTCTGCCTTGGTCTGGGTTGCGAGCAGCAACGCTGCCCCCATGCTCGTCGTCGGTCTTCTGGTTCTTGCTGCCTTCTGCCACACAGAAACCCCTGTATGTCTAGAGAGCCAGGGTGTGTGCAGGGGTGCCTCTCTCCCACCTGCCTGCATGCTTCCCTCTGCACCCCTGGCCTCCTGGTCTTGAGGAGCCGACCCCACAGGGTGAGGCAGGTGCTGCTCCCTCAAGGACCGGGTCTGGGGCTTGGGCCCAACTGCCAGCCCTCAGTAGGATAGTTGCCCCCCATTCCCAGGCAGAGCCCAGGAGAGACTCCTGGATTCCGAGTCACACTGAGAAAAGCCCTCCCCATCCTGAGTGTTTTTCAAGCCTCTCGCTTTTCCTCCAGCTCCTGTGGAGGTTCCTCTCTGTTTGGGTTTCTGCCCTGGGAACCCTGGGCTCTGTTCCTGGGCCTCTTCCACTGAGCTGGGGCCTGCCCAATGCCCACCTCACTTCCTGTACCCCATGTATTATCTGCCCACTCACTCTCACCGCCTGGCACCTCCATGAGGGCTTATCCTCTGTCAGTGCAGCCCCCAGGCCAGCCTGGCTCTGAGCACACCCCACCGAGGAAGGGAGCCTAGGAGCTGCTGCTCAGCTGTTTGCACAGTCCAGGGCTGAAAGCCAGCTGCCTGCCAATAGGCTGCTGTTCATGTGTAGGGCGGGGCACCCAGGCTACTGAGAGATGTGCAGAGTGGATGCAGGCTGGCCTGGGTGTGGGGGCCCCACCCTCAGCCCCGTGGGCAGTATGGATGCAGACCACCCCAGGTGTGGGAACCCTTTCCAAGCCATATGGGGTCCTCCTGACACTGGAGTGTTTTTTCAACAGCTTGGAGTTCAGTTAATCTTGGAGAATCTGACCTGGGGGACATGCAGGTCGGCGCCTGCTGCCCTCCACTGTGGGGCACACTGTTCTGGACACAGCTGTTGACATTCCTGTATGGGGACAAATTTGCACCATGTGAGCTGCCTTTGTGTGGGGAGTGTGGCTCTTTCAGCCTCCAGCATGGGGTCCTCAGGCCCCTGCCTGCTCTGGCCTGGCTGGGCAGCTGTCCCTGGGCTCAGAGCTGTCTGAGCTCAGGCAGGAGGCTTGGAGGTCCATAGAGCCACTGATCCTGGGCCCTTAGGCAGGACACTGTAACCTGTTAGTATCATGCACGGGGGGCCCAGTGTGCCTGCTCCCTCACTCCACTGCCTCTGTAGCAGGTCCTTCCAGGGACCTTTGGGGCTTCTCTTCCAGCCTGCGCCCACTCTGGCCTCCCACCTGTGGTCCTCCTGGCTCAGAGCATCTTGGGCTGTGTGCTCCCAGCCGAGGAAATTGGCCCTGCAGACACTCTGCTCAGACTCCAGCTGAGGGTGCTGCCGTGGGCTCTGCTCACCTGCACCCTCAGTCCCGGGCGGTTGCAAGGGGTTTCCTGGTGCTGTGCCATCTCTGAACACCATGGGGAGCAGGGCCGAGGCCTGGGGTGGGTCTTGTCAGATGCCTGTTGCTGCCTTGTGCACACTGCACCTGCATGTGGAGGGGGTGTACAGGGGTTGCCCTTTCCTCTATGTGCCCATCACTGGCCTTGGGCTTGCCTGTGTGGCCTCACCCCAGGGCGTGTGCAGGGGTGCCTCTCCCCCACCTGCCTGCATACTTCCCTCTGCACCCCTGGCCTCCTGGTCTTGGGGAGCTGACCCCACAGGGTACTGCTCCCTCAAGGACTGGGTCTGGGGCTTGGGCCCAACTGCCAGCCCTCAGTAGGATAGTTGCCCCCCATTCCCAGGCAGAGCCCAGGAGAGGCCATGTGTGGGGCAGGGGTGGCTTCAAAAGCTGGTACCCTAGGTCATCCCAGAGGAGCCTGGAATTACAGCCTGGCTGCTGGGGTCTGCTGAGGCTGGGACTTTAGGACCCACCTACATCCCTTCCCTTGCAGAACATTGCTGCTGTGGAGTCAGCCTAGTGGCCGCTGTGCCCTGAGGGGGCTCTCAAGGGGCAGCAGGAGGGAGTGGGGCATGGTGGCACCCCAAGATCCTATGGGTGCATGGGGTGCGGTCTCATTTCCAGTGATGCTGTCAGCCCCACTTATGTCCAGGCAGTGCCTCTTCCTCCCAAGGGTTGAGGGTCTGGGTGTAGCTGGGCATGGACATGCCTGGGGCCTGTCTGGGGACACAGGCCCACGGGTGTGAGCGCAGAGTGAGCAGAAGGCTGGATCAAGCAATAAGTAGGGAGCCTGGGAACAGGCAGCTGGCCCTGCAAGGCTGGGCCTTGGCTTCACTCCGGGAGGAGAGTTGCAGGGGGGACCCAAGAGCAGAGCCCCTGGGCTCCAGCTGGGGGGCCCTCTCAGGAGTCAGCCCAGGGGCCATCTGCACAAGCTGCCGGAGGACAAGTCCTCCCCGCCCCCAGCAGGATAAGCAGGCACAGGAGCAGAAGGGCAGGCAGATGCACCTGGGAGAGTCCTGGGCTCCTGCAGGTCCCAGCAGTGTGCGCCCTTGGCTAGCACCCTGGTCTCTGCCAGTGCACTCACCCTGGCCTCCCTGTGCCCAGGCTGACAGGCAGTGAGCCCCTGACCATCCTCCCACTGACCCTGGAGCTGGAGGCGGCTGCCCAGGCACACTACAAGGCCTGTGACCGGCTGAAGCTGGAGCGCAAGCAGCGGCGCATGTGCCGCAGGGACCCGGGTGTGGCGGAGACGCTGGTGGAGGCGGTCAGCATGAGTGCACTCGAGTGCCAGTACCAGTTCCGGTTTGAGCGCTGGAACTGCTCGCTGGAGGGCCGCTACCGGGCCAGCCTGCTCAAGCGAGGTTGGTGCGGGGCACAGGGTGGGGCAGGGGGAGGGGCCCAGATGGCTGTGCCCCAGGGCAGGCCTCCCTGGGGCTGGAACTCTTGGTGCTCCCCTCCTCCTGGCTGTTGCCCACCTTGTCCTCCTGACCCTCTCCTGTCCCCCCACCTCCTGCCCCGCCTCACCTCACACAGATGCGCTTGTGGCAGGAGGCATATTTGGGTAATTTTGAAGGGCTCCTGCCACATGCAGGGCATAAGGGCAAGGCTCCAGTTGGTGCCCTGGTGCCCAGCACAGAGCCTTCTCCCTCATGCGTCCTTGGGACTCTGATATGAACCTCTCAACAGCCTTGTTTAAAACTGGGGACAGCCACACCCCCAGCCCTTGGGGGCTGGGCAAAGCACACTCTGGGCCCCAATGGGGTCTCCAGTAGCCCTGGAAGCTCTGGCCCAACAGGTCCTGTGCTGGGTGGCCCCCCATGCCTCCTGCTCATGGGCAGGTTCAAACCTTCTGGGCTGCCCCCTCTCATGATGCCATGCCCACCCAGGCTTCAAGGAGACCGCCTTCCTCTACGCCATCTCCTCAGCTGGCCTGACACACGCACTGGCCAAGGCCTGCAGCGCGGGCCGCATGGAGCGCTGTACTTGCGATGAAGCCCCTGACCTGGAGAATCGTGAGGCCTGGCAGTGGGGCGGCTGCGGGGACAACCTCAAGTACAGCAGCAAGTTCGTCAAGGAGTTCCTGGGCCGGCGGGCGAGCAAGGACCTGAGAGCACGCGTGGACTTCCACAACAACCTCGTGGGTGTGAAGGCAAGCCGGGTGTGGGGGCAGGGCCTGAGTGCAGGGGTGGGGCCTGGGCGCAGGGTGGCAGGGGACCTGGAGAAGGTGGAGCTGCTGCCTTGGACTCTCTGCTCCAGCCCTGGGGAGCCAGCCAGGGCCCCCCAGACTTCCTGCCTCTAAGGCTCTTCCTTCCAGGTGCCCTGGGGTCTCATGGAAGGGTGCCCTGTGGAGGGGTGGCAGGGAATGCCTTCTTGCTGCTGGTTGTGGAGAAGCAGGTGGTCCTGGGCTGGTCTGCTATCTGGTCCTGGGTGGTCAAAGCCACCAAGAGGGTCTCCCTGCTGGGCCCCATCTAACCAGGAGGACAGCAGGCTGGGCCCCACCTGCCAGGGCCAAGGGGCAGATGGTCTGTCCCTGGGGACCTAGGTGGACCGCAGTCAGGTCCCAGGGAAGGGCTGGGGGTGTGGCTGGCCCAACTCAGGGATACTGCATCTGCCTTGGGGGAAGGTCTGCAGCTGTAATTCTGTTCTGAGGGAACTGGGCCCCAAGAATTCAAGGTGGAGGCTCTCCAGCCGGGCCTTCTGGGGGCTGCGGGCACGGCTGGGCCTGGTGGGCCTGCCGCCTGGCCATCCTCCATCCTCCAAGCAGCCCCTGGGCTCCTGGCCCACACCACCAGAGGAGGCATCGGTGACATCTCACTGTGAACGGAGCAGCCTGCCTCTTTCGTCCCCACACAACCCGGACCACCAGAAGCCCCTTAGGGCTCAGCTCAGCCGTGGGACAGTCTGGGCTCTGCATGCTCGTCTGGCAGCTCCCGGGATGTGGCGCCCCCTCACTGGGGGCTGGGGGCTGTAATTAGAGCCAGCACTCCGAGCCCCTTTATTGGGGAGCTGAGTTCTGAGTCCTGCACTTATTAAAGAACTAATTTCCCCCTTACCCAGCTCTTGTCCCTTCTTCCATCCCCAGAGAGGGGGCAGGATGCCTAAATCCCCTAGGCGAGGCTCTTTCTTTCCTGCTGGCCCCCTCCCGGCACCCTCTGTTACTGGTCCTTTTGTAAACTATTAATGAAAAGTCAGAATATGGAAAGGGCTCCATTAGCTCTGCCGGGCCTCAGTAAGCAGCGTTTTAATTAAATTTGTCCAGGTTTCTCAGCAGTGTCATTAAATGTGACCCTTCTGTTGCCTGCCTGGGGGGCAGCTATATTTCTTAATCCCCCTTGAGCCTGCTGTCCCCGGGGGTAGCGTGGGAGCTCAAGCCTGGGTCAGACAAGTCCCTGGGGAGCCGCCTTTCCCCCAGCCAGGGACCCTGATGTGGGTAGTCAGGCAAGAGGCCCCCAGGGGCAGCTGGCCTGACTCCACAGCTTTGCAGATGAGACCCAAGTCCTGGGAAGGAGCCAGCCTGGAACACAGGACATCTTCTCAGATCTGTAGGGGAACATTGGTGCTGGGCACACCTGCTTCTTCCTGTGTACATGCACACATGCATGTGCATGCGTACGTGTGCATGTGTGCACATTCACATGTGCAAAGTATATACACACATGTGTGTGTGTGCGGTAGTCTCCTCCCCTCTTGAGCCAACCTGGAGGTGCTCTTCCTCCCTCCAACTTATCCTGGCTGCTGGGTGCCTGGCTGCAGCTCCTGTTCTGATGCCCAGGCAGGAATGCGGTCAGCTCCCATGTTGATGCCAGTGGTCGGCCTTGCCCGTTTTGTCCTCACCTGTCCCGGCAGAGACTGAACTGCAAGTCTTAGTGGGGTGTTGGTGACTCCAGGGAGTGTACCTACAGCCCTTGCAGAGGGCAGCCCCAAAGGCAGGGACGGCCAGCAGGAGGGGAAGGGAATGTCCACACTGGGCCATGGGTGGCATTGTGGTGGTTCTGGGGACTATGTGCTGGATGGTCCCTGACTTGGAGGCGGAGGGACAGGCATGAGAGCCCGGAAGCCTGGGTGGTGGGTAGTGATGATCCTGGGTAAGGCCTGGGTCTGGGGTAGTGGTGGGGTCCCACTCCTTGGGGGTCATCCCCTGGGACTGGTCTCTGGCCTTGCAGCACAGCCCTCACGCCCACCTCTGTCCCACCCACCAGGTGATCAAGGCCGGGGTGGAGACCACATGCAAGTGCCACGGTGTGTCAGGCTCCTGCACTGTGCGGACATGCTGGCGGCAGCTGGCGCCCTTCCACGAGGTGGGCAAGCGCCTGAAGCACAAGTATGAGACAGCGCTCAAGGTGGGCAGTACCACCAACGAGGCCACTGGTGAGGCTGGCGCCATTTCGCCACCACGTGGCCGAGCTGTGGGACCAGGCAGTGACCCACTGCCCCGCACGCCAGAGCTTGTGCACCTGGATGACTCGCCCAGCTTCTGCCTGGCCAGCCGCTTCTCCCCGGGCACTGCTGGCCGTAGGTGCCATCGTGAGAAGAACTGTGAGAGCATCTGCTGTGGGCGTGGCCACAACACGCAGAGCCGGGTGGTGACACGGCCCTGCCAGTGCCAGGTGCGCTGGTGCTGCTATGTGGAATGTCGGCAATGCACCCAGCGGGAGGAGGTTTACACCTGCAAGGGCTGAGCCCCCACACCTGACCTGGCTGCGGCTGGGTTCAGGCTGTGTGTGCAGGGGGATGTCTACTCAGCTAGGGCTAAGCCCCCGGGCCCAGTGCCCCCAGCACATTTGGGCACAAGGCCAGGCAGGAGCCTGGGGGTCGCTGGCTTGGACATCTCTGCCCCTTTGTCTTCCCCTCTCAAGGCCTGGCAGTGGGAGGCGGCCTCTGGCCTCTGCATCCCTCTACTCATCCCCCCCAACTGGAAAGCATTGCTTTCCAGGCTCTGTTCCTAAGATACCAGTTCCCTTGGGGACCCCCCCCAGAACTGGGCACACAGGGCCATGCAGGCCGCCTGTGGGCTGCCCTACACCAGCACCAGCACTGGCTTAGCAAGTCAAACCACTAGGAGAGATGGCCGATCACTCCACTGTGGGTGACATGGCTGTCCCCCTGACACCAAGCACTTCTCTTTGGAGTGATTTATCAGTGCCTTTTAAGTTATTGTTATTTAACTAATATATAATTATTATCTCCTCCGTCCTCACCGTGCCTCAGGCTGTGGCTCCCCCCTCGCTTGGCAGAGCTAGGGTAGAGGGGCCCCTTCCTCCCTCCCCTCTACACCCTGTACGCCCCTTGGCCTGACCTGCTTTGTTGTTTGAAACCACTAAATCCAGAGACTTTGCTGTTGCTGTTTTTAAGGAAGAAAAGCAGGCGGTGTGTGGGGAACCGTTCCTGTGGCTCAGGCCTGGACAGTCAGCAGGCCCTGCTCCACCTCGTCCCTGTGGTCCTGGCCTCCCCGTGGGCCATCCCAGGAAGTTGCCTGGCCTTACTCTGCCCTGAGCAACATGGCCCAGATTTTGTGGTCGTGGTGGCAGAGGGTGGCCTGCTCTCCCTGCAGGGGTGGACATGGGCAGAAGGGCAAGGCCAGGCTCTTGAGGGCTCATTTCAGCTGAAAGACACAGCTTGCTCTGTGTCACTGTGGGGGAGACAGGGTGTGGACGGATGTGGGTGGAGAGTGCGAGACTAGGACCTGGCAAACAGAAGGCTGCTCTCCTTGGCCATGCTGTTGTCTTTGCAGGGTAGGGAAGAGATGGGCTACTCGGACCTGGCTTGTTCTCAGTGTGTGTGCACACATGTGTGTGTATACATGCATGTGTGGGTGGAATGTGCATGAGCATGTTTGATGTGCACTTGTGTATGAGCATGTGTGTATGCACATATGCATGAGTACATGCATGTGTGTGTGAGGTATGTGCATGCATGCATGAGTGCATGGGTTGGATGTATGGTGTGTGCATGAGTATGCATGTGTGTACATGGGTGCTTGCATGTGCATGAACAGGTGTGTGTGGTACATGAGCATGTGCCTGTGCATGTGTGTGACGTGTGCCTGTGGGTGTAGGCAGTCTCAGCTGGGGCACGTCTCCCTCTGTGCTCTGCCTCACCAGGGTTCTCCTTCCCATGTCTGCATGAACAGCAGCCTGCAGCCCTGGGGTGTCCTGCTGGGCTCTGTGGCTGTGCTCTGAGGGTGTGGTGGGGTCTGGGTAGGTGCAGTGCTGGGTGGCAGTGCAGCCACGGGAACTACTGAGTGAGGGGGTTTCTTGGAGCCCTGGGGGCTCCAGGAATCCTGTGGGACTGTGCTTAAGAGGAAAGCTATTTTTATCGACCTGGGTCTCTTTGTCCTGTTGTACAGTGTAAATAGTAGAGTTTATTCTCCTGTGGTTCAGAGAACAGCCCCGTGAATAACCGTTTGCACAGGGTTAGCAGCTGGGCCTGACCTTGTCTCCTGCAGGCCCGGCTGGAGAGGGTGCGGGCAGTGCCAGCCACAGGCCCAGGACAAGACCGTAGCTCGGTCACTACTGGTCTGGAGAGGCAGCAAGTCAGAGGAAGAATATTTTTTTAATCAAATACCACATTTAGCTCTATGTCATAAATATTAAGAAAAGTATATTTTTTAAACAAGGCAGACTGAAAACGTCTGCTGGCTGGTCTATTGCTATATATACGTATATCAGACTATCCTGCCAGGCGAGGAGGCGCTCCTGCTATCGGAGTCTCCTACGCATGTGCAGTGCTTCCGTGCAGAAGGGGCCTCTAGGAGAAAGCAGCCCAGAGACACAGAGCCCTGGCCAGGCTCTCTGGCAGGGGGGGAGCCACACTGGAGGCCCAACGGGTCCCAGGCACCTGCTCCTGCCGGGCGGGCACTGTGGCCCCTGGGGCTGGGTTCAGTAGGCCCGATGGTGGGAGGAGAAGGCCTTCCCACATGAGGACGCCCACCCGTGTGCAGAGCCTTGTGGAGCCGACCGATTTCTCTACCTCATCTGTACAGCCAGTAGGTGTGTACTGGAGTGACTTGGAGAATGTATTTATTTAACGGCTTTGCGTAACAAACAGATGACACTAAATAAATGTATTTTAAATTATAGTCCCTTTTAGTCTGCTGCCTTCAGAGGGGTTTGGGTAGCGGAGGGTCTGAGGGAGGCTTGGGAGGGGGGTCTGAGGTGGGGCTTGGTGGGTGACAAGTCTGGCCAGGCACGTGTCTGCTGCCCTGTCCCACCATTTGCCCTGAGATGGGAGTGGGTGCCGTCCCTTTGGCAACACACGGAAGGTCGCAGCTTCCTGCGCAGCTGTTGAGGTCCATGGATCCCTCAGGAAGCCAGTGTCTGCGTGCCTGCGCCATCCCCCCCAAGATGTCCCCTAACCCTGCCCTTGGGTGGGCTGTGTGAGCCTGTCTACCTGTCCCTGTTGAGGCCCATGTCTCTGTCCCCAGGGGGTGCATGGGGCCTGCTGGGGGTTGTGCTCTGTATTAGGGGCATTCCTAACAAACCACAGGGGGCCCTTACAGGAGTTTGTTCCTTGCCAGGCCTGGAGGCCAGGTATCCAGTGTGCTGCAGGGCTGGCTCCTTCCGTGGCTTCACGGTGCCTCTCCCATCCCTTATGGGGACGCCTGTTGTGGGATGGAGGGCCACCTGGATTTCCAGGACGCTCCCATCTCAAGATCGTGCACCACATCTGCAAAGACCCTGTTTCCAAATAAGGTCACATTTTGAGGTTCAGGTGGGTGTGGCCTTTGGGGACACAGCTCTACCCACTGCAGGGTGCCAGGCCAAGGGCCACCCAGGTGGGAAGCAGTGTGCCCTCTGCCAGGGCAGGAGCAGAGGGCAGGGAGGAGCAACCCTCACCAATCAGAAGGGGAGAAGGCTTTCTCTTGCTGAGGCAACCTGGCCTGGCGGCCTACGTCCTTTCGGGCAGTGGGAGAAGCCCCTGTGCACTGGCTATCTGCTCAGCTGCCCTCTCCCTGCCCCCAGCATGTGCTCAGAGCCAGCATGGCAGGGTGCACAGATGGCCTGAGGCAAGTCCAGCTAGCACCCAGTAGGGGCTGGCATGGGAGGCAAGAGATAGCTGAGGGATTAGGTAAGAAGGTGAGTTCGGTAATGTCTCAGTCTAGGAAGGTACTGAGCTGGATCCCATGGGCCTTTCAGGCTGACTACAGAGGCTGAGGATGAGGCGGAGAAGCATACAGAAGAATGGGGGGAGGGGGAGGGGGAGCGGGGCTGTGGGGTCAGTCCTGGACGTCCAGGCTGGTCCCCCTGCTTCTCAGCTCCTCCAGCTGCCTGTCCCAGCCCCACAGCCACTACCTTGTGCCGGGCCCTGGCCCGCCAGCTCCTTCCCCACCCGGGCTGCCCTGCCTGGCGTCCTGGTCCGTCCTCTGAGCCCCAGCCTGCGTACGGCCCCGGGACTCCTCTTCTGTCCCCTCTCAGCCACTGTGCAGCAGACAGGACCACATGCTGGGCAGAGCAGTCAGCCCATCCCGCTGCCAGGCAGAGGGACCCCAGTCTGGGGACCTGTGCAGGTGTCATGTGGCCTTGCCTCTGGGCACCTGGGCCTCAGTTTCCCTGGGCACACCTTGGAGGTGGGTCAGCGCCCCACCCCGCCCCAACAGTGGGGTTCTGAGCTGGGTCAGACCAGGGGTCAGGTGGGAGGTGTAGCTGTGGCTCAGGGGCTGCTTAGTGTCTGCATCCATCCTTGCACAGAGAGGAGGAGGGGTCTAGCAGGTTGCCAGGGAAACAAGGTCCAACAAATAGTCCCCCCCACAGGCCTGCGGGCCTCTGTGGCAATGACCTCATCTGCCCACCAACCTTGTGCTGTGGGGGGTCCTGGATGTGCAGGGGGGCTGCAGCCCCCGTGTTTGTGCTGGGCCCTCGTCCATGGAAACGGCTGGAGCTGGGTGGAGGGGCAGAGCCTGAGCCTGTGGTTATTAGCTGGGCAGCCCAAGATCCCCTCCCAGAGCAGGGAGAGGAGGGGAGGGGAGAGGTAGGGTTAGAGGAAGTTCAGAGGGGCTGGGAGAGGGGAGGGAAGGGGGGAGGGGGAGGGAGGAGGGTAGGTAGTGGAGAGCCTGGGTGGGATGAGGAGCCCAGTGGGGAATCCCTGACCCCCTCTGAGAGGCTGGGACTGGGGCTTCTGGTCACCATCAGGTAACGGACATGATGTGTTGGGAGACAGGAGGCTCAGGGCTGGGGGGCCAGCTGCAGGCCTGAGGACTCATCAGGACGTTGTGTGACGTCCCCTGGGATCGTCCCTGAGACCCATGCACTGGCAGGGGCCATCATGTCCCTGCACACAGGCTGCTTCCAGACAGGCCACCGGACAGGTCCGGGCACCCTGCAGGCTGGTGGCATGCGCAGTTGCCCGTGGCGACCTCAGGCCACCGAATTCCGTCGTGTGGCTGGGTGTGCGTGATCAAGGTGCCCCTGTGCGCCGCCCAGGAGGCGCCAGCTGGCCCTGCCCTTCCTCTGCTCTGCGCGCCTGCAGGCCCAGGAACGTGCAGCCTCCACAGGGGAGTCACACGACACTCAGGGCATCTCGTCTGTGAGGAAAGTCCGCGCAGCCTGCAGTCTGCTTTCTAACATCGCCAAGGACACCAGGTTCTTTTTCCAACCCGAGGCGCACGATGCCGTGCACTTGTTTCTCCCAAATGTGCTGGACGCACTCTCCTGAGCCGCCCTCTGTCCTGGTCTCCTGGATTTCGAGGGTTTCAGATGACGTGGAAGTGTCCACAGAGTCACTGGGGGGCTCTCGGGAGATTGGCCGAAAAATGACACTGAAAATCGAACATCATTCCCAGCACAGAAACAAGTCTAAGGGTCTCGGTACCCTTGGAAAGATGGGGGAAAGGGTTATGGGAAGCAGGAAAAGAATCTGTGGAAAGGGAGCTATGGAAATAAAAGCAAACCACTGGAAGTGAAAATTGGAGGGTGAAAAAAAAACTTTTTTAATGAAAATTTGAAAGATTAAGCCCGAGAAATCTAGTGAGAAAAAGGAAGGCCAGCCTCTTCCAGCTGGGTGGTCACGTGACAGCACTAGCCCTCCCCGTAAGGAGGGTCCCTTCCCCAGTAAAAGGCAAAGCTGGTGAAGAGAATGACCATCACCTCTACCCATCACCCAACCTGTCCTAATTGGCATACAGGCCTTGATGGAGGATGGCAGTAGACTTCCTGGGGTCCCAAGCACCAGGGCCATGCAGGAAACACAAAGGAGGAAACAGGAAAAGCCAGGCCCCCGGTGTTGCTGGGGAGCTATTGCCTGAACCACACCCCGTCTTCTGTTCCTCTCCTGTGTGGGTGTTTGCTTGAGCTCCACTGGCTGCGTTTATTATCTGCCACCCAGGTCCGTCCTGACCACCTGCACACGAAACGCCAAGGATCTGTCATCGGCTGGGCCCAATGGAGCCAGGCTGTCCAGGCTTGAGGGCTGGTCTCCTCCTTCCTAGCGTCCAGGCCTGGCCAGGCCTATGAGAACCTCGGAATGAGCCTCTAGGGCAGGTGAGCCCAGAGGTCACGTCTGTCATGTGCCCTGCTTGGTACGTTATCTGAGGTGCAAACAGGGAGCAAGGCTCTCGGGTGGGCTGGGTAGGGTCAGGGCTGAGGAGTGCCTCCCCCTCCCTCCCCTCCCTCACTTCTCCCTCCTCCCTTTACACAATTCAAAAACCTCATCTCACAGGAACACTGTTGATTAAAGCAGTACTGTGATCATATGAGAGGTGGTCCTGCCCACATCCCTGGGAAATGCCTGGGTTGACTCACTCCCTGTTAACAGGGTTTACTTCTGAGTGGAGGGACCCTGGGGTAATGTTTTATTCTCACTGTAGCTTTATTTTGCTTGATTTAAATACATTTGGTGTCTAAAAAATGGAGGGGGTCTGAGTGTCTCACCCTGGCTCCAGGCTGAGGGGGCAGGGAGGCCTGGCCTGCCCACCCCCCACTGCACACGCCCTTACTGGGCACCTTGTATATGCAGATGCTGAGCTGAGGATGTAAACAGAACTAAGACTCTCTGCTTAAGGCAGGAGGGATGTTTTCAAGACACTGCACCCCACAAGGAACAGCCGACTGCTGGCTTTGATTACAGCTGCGGCCACCACTGCAGGAAGGGGAGAAGACGGCTCCAGTATCTGCCCACAACTAGCCCCTGCCAGAGGGGAGGATACCCCACCCACAGGAAGTGGCTCACCACGTGGGGCTTGCAGATGCCAGGCTGCACCAGGACGCCCTGGTCGTGCTGGCTGCAGGCAGGACTCACACCTGAGAACCGGCCATGGCCCCAGGGCACCTGCCCTGTCTGGGTGCTGGTCCATGTGCCCGAAGCAGGTGTGCTCCTGAGACCAGGTGAGGGGGTGCACGGCAGGTGGCCTGGTCCAAGAGCAGGGCTGCAGGACCCAGACTGTACCTGGGCCGGGGACACCTGGGCTGCAGGACTGCTCAAGTATACTGAGAACACACGATTGGGCACAGGACAAGCACACCCCCAGAAGCAGCACCTGGAAGCAGACTCGAGGGCAAGGGCAGCATCCTGGGAGCCTGGGTGCAGGGCTAGCATGCCTGCAGGGGCAAGGGGGCCGGGGGACCATAGGCCTTTAGTTGAGGTAGGGCTGGCCCTGGCATCAGGGTGCCCATGGAGGAGAGATTGAAATGGAAGAAGCTGTGAGGGCAGGGTTGGCAGGTGGTGAGAAAGGGGTGCCTCGGGGTGTGGCCAGGTGCAGGTGTCAGGTGGAGTGGCCAGCAGGGGTGGTGTCTGGGGAGGAGTTCCTCCCAGGGAGGGTGGGTCTGAAAGCCCTATTCCCACCCCCTGGCAGGGTCCTTCTCTGGAGCAAGCTCCCCCAGGGCACCCCGTTGCCCCCTGCATTTGGAGTGGAGCTGAGTGGGGGCAGTGGGTGCCAGCCCTCCAGCTGAGGGGTGAGGCAAGCGGGGACTCCTCCCAGCCACACCAAGGGTAGGGGTGCTGGTCTAGGAGCCAAGGGTAGTCTGGAAGGGGCGGGTAGAAGGGCAAGCAGGGCAGGGGGACTAATAAACAGTGCATATAAGCGTGAGTGTGCATGGGTGTGTACATGTGACAGTATGCATGTAAGAATGCATGTGAATGTGCACA